GTATACTCGGCCTAGTCTGATGCATCCTCCGGACACTGCTTCCGGAGTCTTCTGCGGACTCTGCATGGTTTACAACCATGCGGAGGTGGTAATAGTTGATTACCATTGGCCACAGTGCCTACCCACTACTATAATTTTAAATTCATGCAAACATACTGGTCTCCCCTCTCACTGAGTTATTCACTCTTGTTGTGGAGATATTGCTATTCACATTGAAAAAATGTCGCTCCAAAAAGAGTCAAATGGTTAAAAATTAACATATCCGTCTAATTTGGTTACTTTAAGATATAAAAATAACATACCCAATCGCCGATTCCCCGATTGCCACTTAAACCGAAATTCCCTGCAAATCGGGGAATTTCCCGCGAGTTGACAAGATGAAGAATGCAGCTGTGCTAATCACTTCGTACATGTCTTGGAAACCACAATTTGTGTGTATTTTAGAGTTTTTTTCAGTCACATGCCGAAATTGTAACTTTCTTCCCCATTTTAATTGCAGGTATGTACACAGTATTTAACTATGCTACATGGGTTTATCACCCGCACTTAACCTTCCTAGGTATTTACCTATAGTTGTACATAAATATGTATGTATGAATACATTTAGTTCACCCAATGCGCCGCTACTACTTACATACATATGTATGTATAAATTGCCACTGAGCAAAACTACTTGAGAAAAAATCAGTAGTTTAATAGCACGAGTGCAACACCGTACACGTGATAGAAGTAAAACTTCTTAAAAAAAAGCACCTGTGTGCGCCCCAGAAGTAGAAATATTAACAACAATTAAACTACGAGGCAATCAGACGAATACAGTTGTTTATTGTATCCAAAGTTGGTACCAAGTTGATAAGTTTTTATCATTTCTTATAAATTTTTTATTTTTAATTTTTACGAATACATATCATCCTTGATATCATCGTATCCTTGATCATCCTTTTTCGCTTTATTCCGTATTCGAAAAACTATGTGTTTCAATGCACACATCGATTTGAATACATAATTTAGATTTAGAGAATATTTTTAGCAATTTATTTGAGAAAAATAAAACATTTAGTTTATTGTTTGTATTTTCGTCGATTTTAAATTTGCTACCCCAAAATAATTGATATCAAATAAAACACCTCTTTGAGGTAAAATTTTTGAGTGACGAAAGCTGAACTAGAAACACAAAATTTATGATATCAATTTCGTGACGAAAATTATACGCATTTTTTAACTGCCTTTCAAACGTACGGAAAATCTTTTTTTATTTATTCGGAACGTTGCGAATTTCCGTTTACTGCTAGAAACACGATTAAAAAAAAAACAGAACTTTTGCAACGATTCGTATGAATAAAAAAGATTTTCCCTACGTTTGAAAAGCAGCAACTTAAGAAAGTTTTATTACATGGCAGTTGAGAAGTGCATGTACATAAATTTCATTAATTTAATGAAGGAAATTTTTGCACATGCAGCAGTACATAGCATGCATTTAGGCGCCTGGTGTTAGCAGTCGCGTCTAAACAAGAGTTTTCCCAGGTATAAGCTGTATACCAGATGAAAGCTAAGGTTTTGCGCTAGATTTGTGGAAACCTAGAATAAAATCGACTGACCAGTTTTTGAGAAAATGCCCGAAATCTGTATTTTCAGCAGCCCGATTTTTAGTTTCCAGGCGATAACGTTATGGCGTATTTATATTTTATAAACACAAAAGATAGCGTTGGATAGCTTGTTTGAAGTCCCTTCTACTGATATCCAAATCAATGACATGGACTGAGTACTGCAGCCTCAGTGGTAGTTAAAAATTTTTTTTTTCCAATTTCAGGCAGCAGGCACGCCCACACAGGCATACGAATCAAAACAACCTGGAACAAAACCTTCTTAGTTTTTTGTGTACTTTAATTCCTGAAAGTTTGAAAAAAATTAAATGATGGTACGTACAGACGCCACATACATACCAAAGCATCTCGAAGGGGAGACACGAACCAAAACACATTTACATCTATATCTTTCCAACTAGTGGCCGGATATAAGGTATCGTTCGAAAGGTATTGACCTAGAGAATAACACTAAATATGTTGGGTGTATCCACATGCCCCTTTAACCGGCAAAAGCAAAAAAACATTTTTTGTTTGGCAACACTTTTGCCTAATTTTTAAGAATCCGGTTAATCGTTTACGAAGCTTGAATATATTTTCTGGACACACTCTGCAAGACCTTTCCAACGATATATCAAACATGTCGATTGGACGTCTGGATAAAAACTTCCAAATCTCGTGTATATATAAGCGAGTCAATTCAGCATGCTACTGTTGCTGCTTTCTTCACTCGCGCACACTGGCGTGCGCTGTGATGAGGTCACGGGGTGGCCCGAGCCCACGATCATAATTTTTTTCTTTTTGAATTTAGTATGGTTCCAACCACCGCCGAAGCCGCACCGCTTAACGTACTTCTTTGTAATTTCTTTAAAAGCCACTCGGGCACAAAGTTTAATTCCTGTTCCTACGAATATCATATATTTTTCAATAAAATACGTTTTGCTAATTGAATTGTATCCAAAAATCCAATCGGTTTTTTATTTCTTTGGATCCTCCTCACTTGGCGCACCCTGTGCCATTATTACTCCCATAAAAATCAACATGGTCCTTTGTCGCTAAAGCGCAACCCGCGACCAAAGCGAAGTACATACATAAGTACGTTTGCACATAAGTGCCAGTGTGCGAGAAATACTAAAAGCGGTCGGCAGCAAAACACGGAAGTAAACGCGAAAGGCGGCAGGTAAAAAAAGACCCGAAAACTAAGTTGTACACCAGAAAAAAGTTGTGTGAACAAAAATTAAACAGCAAAAACGAAAAGTTATTAAAAATTAAAGAATTAAAAAGTTATAGTGGTTATATCGGTAATTAAAAAAGGAAAGAAGAAACACCAGCAAATGAAAGAGAACGGAAAAGCGGCACCTGTAAAGTGATGTATGTGTATGAACATTAGTGTGGCAAGAAAACAAAGCGAAAAAATTTAGAAAGTGCTGAAACAGAAAATAAACCGGAAATTTAAAGTGCTGAAAAGTAACAAATTATACAAAAAAAAAAGAAGTAAAGTAAAAAGAGAAAAATTTCTCAAGGTGACCCCAAAGAAAGTGCTGAAATAAAGCCACAAAAATTATCGTACACATATAACTAAAGAAAAGTTCGAAAAAAATCATACATATATGTACATACATATAACCGAAATCAAATAAAAACCATTTTAGAAAGTTATAAAAAAAAAAAATATAAGCGAACGTAAAATTTTGAAAATTAAATACAACGGAAATCAAGAGTAGAAGCAAAAGACGAGAGAGGAGGCAGCAAAAGGAACACCAGGAGCTGGACGCACGCAAAACGGATGACGGCAACAACCGGATACAGCACAGTTCAGGCGGTACAGTCCCGACAAAGAAATAACAGGTGGTACCCAATAAGCAAGTAAGTGCACCATTCCCCTACCAACTATCCTAAACTTGCACATAAAAAGATACATACATATATTACGTATGTAAATTTGTTAGCGGTTCCCCAGTACGGTAAATTGAAGCCACTGAACTTCTAATTTACCGTAACTAAAGTCATATCTCCTCAAGACATACATATATCCCGACATATATGTACATAAATAAAAGTATATAATCCCGAGCAATATCACATTTCCCCTCTTCAAAACGGAAAAAACCGCTATAAAATATACAAACGTAATATAATTTACATACCTATTTACCCAATCTCAGTTTCACTGCCCCCTCATGTTCACATAAGTCTCGAAATTTCTGCACAGTATGTACATATACATGTGAGTTCTAGTGTTACGCGCGAAACAAATATTTACTCATCCATATATACATCAGCTCATTTGTCCCGTACGATACACGTAGTTACATATGTACTTCTATATACGAACGTAGAAAAAATTCACCAAGTCACGCACGTATATTAAACAAGTACATAGTTACATACTGGACACCCGTTTGTTCATTTCCCCGCTATCACTCTAAAACCACTTGGATTCTGACATACATACTCACATATACGCATGACCCAGGAGCATAACACACGAAATTGTGTTTGCAATTATTCTCCTATTAATTAGCGGTACCCGAAAAGTATTAAATCGCTTCTCTCTTGCCTCCTTCTTCCACTTATGCCATAGAGATTCACCCAGTTCGAAAAATGATTCGGCTTCAAAATTTGCGAAATATACATATATAGTATATATATATATTAGGCTGGGTCGATTTTGTATGGGGTAAAATAAAAGTCATTTGACCGCATTGTAATAGTAATATTATGATGTCTCAGGTCTCAGCCAATTGTTATTGGCCACGAAAGATTAATTTAAAACTTATCTTTAGCCCGCGCAATTGAATCAAAGTGTATGAATTTTGTAAATGAAACTTTGGCTTGTAATATCTATGG